ATAAATGTAAATATTTATTGCAATAATGAGTGAAATATATCATGATTATAACGTTGAAATTATTTAAATATTATAATTAGTGCTTTTACCTTTGTTACAACTATTTTTTATTTAATTAAATTATGAACGTAGTGTACGAGACTGTGATTTTAATATTATGTTGTTTATCACTAGTGTCATGCTTTGATCCCTTTTCAATAGGAACAGGAGCTGCACTTGCAGCAAGTTATTTATATCAAAATTTAAAAAATACGGTTTGCTTTTTCAAAGAATGCTGTACAGAAAGAGAAATTCCTGCTAATTTTAACAGTAAGCTAGTTGAAAGTTTTACAATATGCCTCTACTTCAAAGTGTGTTACAGGGTTAGAAACTAGTCTAAAAGAAAAATTGTATGGTCAAAATTTAGTTCATGATGTAGTTGTAAATGCTTTGAAAGGACACTGGAATGGTGAGCCTACTAAAGCTTTAACTTTGAGTTTTCATGGAACTCCCGGTTGTGGAAAGAATTATGTTACAACATTTATTGTGGAAAGTTTATATGCAAAAGGAAGTGAAAGTGTTCATGTTCATAACTTTCTAGGAAGAATACATTTTCCATTAAAAGACAAAACAGAAGAATATCAGGTGGATATTTCAATAACATTTATATGAACTAGAATAACATTTAACTTATTTATTTTCTTCTCATAGCAAAAACTTTATCAATGGATAAAAGGAAATGTAACAAAATGTGCAAGACAAATCTTCATATTCGATGAAGTAGACAAAATCCCTCCCAAAGTCCTCAACATACTTAAACCATTAATAGATTATAATGCAAGAATTGAATCTGTTGATTATCGAAAAGCTGTTTTTATATTTCTTTCCAACACAGGGGGTTCTTTAATAGCAGACCAATTTCTAAAGCTTTGGCAGCTAGGAGTAAGAAGAGAGGATATTCATTTAAAAGATTTTGAGAGTCTCATGACTAAAGGGGCATTTAATGAAGAAGGTCAGTTGCCTTTTCAAAATTTACCTCTATAATAAATAATCTTTAGGTGTTCACATTAATTGGGATACATTTTAGGCGGGTTTCAACATTCCGATACTATTAAAAGTAATTTGATAGACCATTTTGTTCCTTTTTTACCCCTAGAACAAGAACATGTGATTGAATGCATTAGAGATGAATACAAAAAACGGGGTGTTCAGTATCCTTCCCAGGAACTAATAGAGTAAGATTAATTAATTTTAATTGTGTTGCTCTTACCTACCGATAAATTTTACTGTTACAGTGAAATATTAGTGGGAGTCGAATGGGGCCCCCAACCTCATAATTTATTTTCGAAAACTGGCTGTAAAAGACTCAGTCAAAAAGTAGCACTTGCAGTTCAGAAGCATGGATTGTACAAAAAAAATAACTAATTATTAGGTGTAAATATTATTATTACATTTTACAGTACTAATTTTTTACTTTGAAAATAAAACACTGCTATTAAAAAGTCTTTTTTTCTGAGGAGGATAGTGGGTTACTTAATGTAATTTATTATCTACGACAGTTTTAGGGTAAACGCAAATAAGTAGCCAAGAAATATAGAAACTGCATCCCTTATCTCTCTTCTCAGTGGCAAAAAATGCGCTTCGTTAAATGTTAAGACCGTGGTTGTCGCATATGTTTAAGAAAGCATTTAATAATTTGATATTAAGTAGTAATATTGCTAAAATTCTTATTAGAAATAAAGACCACTTGGTCTTTCTAAAGAATATAGTTACCCTCAGGTGATAAGACAGCCGGTAGAATATGTTGTTTGAGAAAACCACTTTTATAAAAAAAAAGCACGAAAATAACTTCACAGCAACATTTTATTTGTCTTTCACATAAATAATGTATCTACTAAAATATAAAAAATAGATACATACAAAGAGTGCGAAAAGTAATCTAAAAATATTTTTACAAAAAATTACAATAGAAAATACATCAAATTTACTGAAAATATTGGAAACATATCTCATTTATAAGAATGATTCATTTTCATAGGAAAAATCAGAAATAATATCACCTTTTTATACCTTATTCGATATCGTAATAATCATCCAGTCATAATTTTCTTTCGAAAATGAATCACCTTATACAATTTAGCAACAACTTTTCTTATATACAATCTTCTCAAGAAGCACCACCTTTGAGGAAATTCTTACAGCGACCGCTACAGTCGCTTGCCACCATCATAACAATCACACCTTTTCATTTCAAAAAAGTGGTTACAATCTCCCTGGTTTGAACACAAATACATATATACAAATACAATTTCGTTTGAGAGTATTCAGGGCAGACATAGTTTCAAAAAAATAAAATAAAAAATTCACACCAAGGAAAAGATAACCACTGAAATTATGCACAGATATACAGAAATTGTACTAGCACTCCTATAATCACAATGTGCCTTGTAATAAAATAATACAATTTTGTAAAAAGCAAAACGCGTGAAAGTGGCATAAAAAGCTGGCTATACGTATACACCTGGTAATTAAAAATGGAATAAAAAAATAAAATTTGAAGTTTTTCCATTAAAAAAATAGACAGCAGAAAAAGAAAAGCGTCCAACTTTAGTATCTTATATACAAACATAATTTTCGTAAATTTAGTATATGCACTTGTTCACCTGGTATATTAATATAAACATGCATTTTACTTAACAGCGAATTTTCTTTTTCCAACTTAAAATTACTTAAAGTAATAAAATCTATGTCTGTACTGTAACTTATACTGGCAGCAAAATGAAATGTACACCATCAAAATCACCATAAAAACAATATCATAATGCGTGATATATTCACAAAGCTCATTTTACATCAGTCGTTACGCATACACTAACTTATGGGTTTTCATTACTTGAATAGTTCTCTTTTTTATACTACAACCAAAATCTACATGAATTTGTTTTCTGGATCTATATTTCTCTTGTTTTTTAATTAAAACATATATATATATATGGAAGCAGTAAAGCACAAAACACCTCTTTGCAGATCCTTTCAATGTCGTTTATATTCCTTATAAAACGCGCGCGTCTTCTACTCTCTCAAATGTAGATAAAAGCTTTTACCTATAAGAATCGTCTATATAAGCAAGCTTTTTTGAAGGTACAATGTTGTATGTATGATCAATATAATAGCAAATGAAGAATCTAAAGCATTCTCGGCAGGTATTATCTGAACAGAGTCCAGGATTAGTCAATCTACTGATGGAGTCGTTTATTCAATGTTTGGTTTTGTTGTAGTACATGCATTGATGATAGCAACCACAGCAGCTGGCGAAACGTCGAATAAACGACTCCATCGGTGGGGAAGAACCAATCTTCAACCACAGCCATCAAGGCCCTCTTCAGATATACGATAACGATAACATTTTAAATTAAATTATTTAAGGACAAATTAAAAAGGTTTTTGTCTTACGTCATGTTTTCCTGGGTGGTGGAGGCGGTGCTACGCAAGAGGACAAATTATTAGAACTGTTGGTTGTGGAACTGCACGACAATTTTCGTTCTTTAACAGGAATGTTTTCGTAAATCGTAGGCCGAGGTAGGTCTTCCGGAGGCCTAAAGTATGCAAAATTAACATCCGGTAGATAAAAAGGTCACCGCCACATTAGTATATGAAATTGGTCCTAGGCTAAATCAAGTGGCACACTTTAATTCCTAATATGAAGCCGGCTTCAAGAGAATGTTAGATAATTTTAACCCAACGGCGTATATGCGTACTATTTGTTTTTTCACTGTAAAATTACCTTGGTAATTGTATTTCAGACACTGCTCTGGGATGCCTTTTAACATCATTTCTTAAAGGAACGGGCGTGGTAGGTGACTGAGCATAGGGTAGACTTATGGTGGATCTATTCAAAGACATGGTACTTCCTATACTTAAAGTTGGAGACACAGCACTATTCACCAAACTGTTAACACTCTCTCCGCTGTATTTTATGTTGGTGTACTCTCGTCCAACTTGTAACGATTTCTAATTGGGAAAGAGAAACACATGCAATATAAACGGGAAAAATTGCTATAATTGAGTTTATTCATTATTATTAAACGTAAAATATAATTTCACTTTCAATAAATAAATTAAAAGAAAATACCTGTTCAGCCTTAATTCTTTCTGTGGTAGTTTCAATGTGATGTTGCACAGCCAAATAAACAAACTTATATTGCGCTTCTGTTTGTACCATTCCAGAACGCTGAGATCTAACCATTTGTATGGTACGTTGAATATCAATTTCACAGTCTAAGCCTAAGATACAAAAAATAAATAATTACATATTACCACGATAGTTCTGATATTCAAACAAGAAGTGACTATTTGAAGAAAGTTCAATATTCGGCCATGGTGAGTCTACGGATGGAGTTGTTCATCCGACGTTTCGCCAGCCGCTGAGGTAGGCATCCTCAGGGAGCTTGGCGATAGACGACTCTACTCTATCCGCAAACTTACTGAAGGAGAACCAATAATAGATCGTGGTTATCATTCCGAATATTGAACCCTTTTCAAACAGCACCAACCGTAAAAAGTTTAGCCTTTTGAACAACTCACCATGTTTTTGTATTTGGTCCAATATCATGTCTATAACTATAAAAGTCCCAGTCCGTCCGATTCCAGCTGAACAGTGCACCAAAATAGCTCCTGGTGCTTTATCCTCAGGAAGTTCTTGAACCAAAGACTCCTGCTTTATGTTTACCTCATGAAGGAAATTTAACACACAGCCCGGATCGGATGGGACCCCGTGATCTGGCCAAGCCTGTAATCAGAAATAAAAATTAAAATTTTTAAAAAACCAAAACGTAAATAAAGACTATCTTGCCTGAAAATGATATTGAAAAACTTTTCTNGATAAGCCTTTTTTTATTTTATTTCTTTTGTATATAACTGTTAAGAGAAAAAAAATTGTTTACTGTTACAAAAAATCCATCACTGTCTTCTAAATTAAGTGTAGCCAAGGATGCCACATTATGAATCTAAGAAAGAGTGTGAAGGCCAAACGGGCCATTAATTTACCGAATAATGAGGAATAATTCGTACCCTAATTCATATATCTATTTTCGATATGGCCGTTTACTGAATTACAAGGTGAATTTGACATTTTTTTCGCGCTTTATGAATACCAACACGGTTTATTGCTTGGCCGCCAGCCAAAATTCTTCAAACATCCGCTGACATCTAGAACATCTTAAGCGGCCAAAAAATAATTAACGCGCCTAATTAAAACATTTTTGACGAACGGGAAATGCAACATAAATTAAATCGAAGTTGCACAACGTAAGATGCAATTCACTTGCTGCAAATACCAAGTTCACAAAACTTACAAAAATGTTACTTTTTTTATTTATTTATTTCTTTATTGATAGGCTTTCAACATTTTTTAAATGTAATTTTTTATTATTAACGACGTCATATCGCTAATATCTATTATCAATTCCTATCAACTTTTTGATTTGTTTAATTTCGTAATTTGCCTTACTGAATTATATGCATAAAGTTGATAATGTGGCGTGAATTAAAGGTGAAAATCCAGATTATTACATATAAAATTAGATTACGTTGTTATTATTGCATCTTTAACGTCGATTACTGATGCCGGGGATTTTTAGGAAGCCCCATGTTCCTTAAGTCAGAGGGTTGCCCTTTTCAACAAAATATCAAACTCACACCAAGAAAAACAAGCTGTAAATCCATTTTCACAAGATAAATCGGTTAATCAATTACAGAAACGAAGATTTTCCAAAGAAGAATATGGAAGGTAAACAATTACAATGTGTAATTTATTATCTGTACATATTATACAATAGGATGATCCATTTGTCCCGATTAATCTTTGGATTCTACATGGATTTTTTTATAACATTTTGAGCAGCATTTTCGAAAGAATCCGTTTTTGAAATCAAAATTAAATGATTTCTTTCAGCAATACTAAAAAATTTTTGATCACAATAAAATTTGAGACGTTTCTTCATAACTTTAAAAGGAACAAGCATTCACACAAAATCGTGAAAACAAATAGTCGATAAAAATTGACCATCCTAATAAAACAATATATGTATAATATGTATCTATATCTACATTCAAATATTAAATGTTAACGATTTCTTAAAGGCCCGTGAAAGGTTCTTTATCGGAAAGCAGAAGCTACAAAGCAAGTATACACATTTACAGAGAGATTTTAGTTCTATGCGAAATTATAAACGAGTATGGAACGACAATTCGTAATAAAAATGGGGAAATACGTGTAATTTTATTTGGAACACTTTTCAATGTAAGTGTTTATCAGTATGAATGCATTTACAACGGGCTTGCATTAATATTAGACGATAAAATACTAAAAGTAACAACGATTATGATAAATGAGATAATACAACCGCAAGATCACTCATGTATCTGCTTTTTAATAATAATTGCTTTTGTAATAATCAGTGACTTAATGGCAGTAGGTTTAAAGCAAAAATCACCTTTTGTCATCCTTCACCCTAAGACCAAATATGGGTACCCTCTAATTTGGATAGCCCAGATGTAATTTAAATGTATTAACTCCATACCCGAATAATAATATATTTATTTGAGAATAACTTAATAGTTAACAAATAATTTTCAGATATACACGGCAGTATCTGATAAATTAGTAGGGGTTTTACTTAGAGCTAGAAAACACCAAGCAGTAGACTTCGAAGGAGAAGTTCTTTTTCAAGTAAGTTAATGATGTACAGATAATTAAATTTAGATTGTTTTCTATCAACTTACGTTTTTCGTGCTCCACGTAACACAACATCTTTATTTAACGGTTTATATCACTTTAAATAATGCAAAGGTTTATCTTTTGTTTTTAAAATGGCGCCTTTGTTTTTTTTTTATTTGAGTTTTATTAAGTTGATTTAAAACCAAAATCAAGTAAATCAGAACAAGGATTGTTTTTATCAAGTTAAATTATTTTTTCAGAGGCGGGATGACAACGTTCCTATTTATCTTACCAAACCCCTTAAAGAAATTCGCACGATATTTAATGCCAAAATTGCAGAAGCGGAAGCAACCATAAAAGCTAATGCTCCACAAATATTGGAAGAACAGGGTTATCAATAATAATAGTTAATTAAAAATAAAGTACATAAGTTTTAATTCCAAATCGTTATGTGTAGATAATTCGAAACTACTAAACTAAGTATTATTTAATTAATTGTAATATATTTCCGTAGGCCGAAAGATGTTTCTGTATTAATTCATAATTATGTACATTTTATAGAAATAAATATTTTTTATAGAATTCGTACTTGAAAAAATTACTTGCAACCTTAGTATTATTATTGTTATTCAACTAAACCCAACCCAACCCAACAAAAGCATAATAGATAATAAGTTTTATTTTAAAATATTGAAATGTATACTTAAAGTAGGTGCTTCTTGAATACCGGGATAATAAAGCGTATCCATTAATTAATAAACAAAACAATTTTGCGAAAAATGTTAGTGAATACCTTTAGTAATTTTAAATATTTCGTAAGTGCGTGTGATTAGGCACTACTGTCTCAGATGTTATATAACAACATCCAATAGGGTTATAAGCAAGTTGATCATTTTTTGAGGTTAATTCTTAATGTTTACATGATAAATGTAAATATTTATTGCAATAATGAGTGAAATATATCATGATTATAACGTTGAAATTATTTAAATATTATAATTAGTGCTTTTACCTTTGTTACAACTATTTTTTATTTAATTAAATTATGAACGTAGTGTACGAGACTGTGATTTTAATATTATGTTGTTTATCACTAGTGTCATGCTTTGATCCCTTTTCAATAGGAACAGGAGCTGCACTTGCAGCAAGTTATTTATATCAAAATTTAAAAAATACGGTTTGCTTTTTCAAAGAATGCTGTACAGAAAGAGAAATTCCTGCTAATTTTAACAGTAAGCTAGTTGAAAGTTTTACAATATGCCTCTACTTCAAAGTGTGTTACAGGGTTAGAAACTAGTCTAAAAGAAAAATTGTATGGTCAAAATTTAGTTCATGATGTAGTTGTAAATGCTTTGAAAGGACACTGGAATGGTGAGCCTACTAAAGCTTTAACTTTGAGTTTTCATGGAACTCCCGGTTGTGGAAAGAATTATGTTACAACATTTATTGTGGAAAGTTTATATGCAAAAGGAAGTGAAAGTGTTCATGTTCATAACTTTCTAGGAAGAATACATTTTCCATTAAAAGACAAAACAGAAGAATATCAGGTGGATATTTCAATAACATTTATATGAACTAGAATAACATTTAACTTATTTATTTTCTTCTCATAGCAAAAACTTTATCAATGGATAAAAGGAAATGTAACAAAATGTGCAAGACAAATCT